TGCGGGGGGTCTACAAACCTGTGTGGGGATTGATGTTGAAGAATCCCCGTTACATCTACCAATCCTGCGTTCTTCAAGCAGCAAGAATACCCGGGTATAATTATGCCGTTTGGAAGACACATCAAGAGGCTATGCAAAGTGACCGGGGATGAGCTGACTCGGGAAGTTCGGTCGTCACCAAACGTCCACCCCTGTCGTCGATTGGGAATATTGGCATACCTCCTCTACGACGATGTCAGGAGATTTTCGGATCTTGCAGATGCGAGAACGAGACTTTAACAACGGCGGTGTGGGACACTCGTCGCATCTAGCTGCATCCAAGCCTGTCTTTTTGGTATGCTAACCACAGTAAGGCAGTCTCTGGGCCCAGATGATGGTCGAACAATAACGAAATCAATGCCTTGAGATTAGCCTCGTCAAATCATGTCAGCTTGTGTCTTCATGTCTCGATGAGTAAACAGAAGCCGTAAGTATGCTACCAGTTTGTCACAAGAAATCAGCAATGTCACTTGAAATACTTCACAGTGACTTTAGTTAGACGAAGAGCGTGCTCATAACATGATACAGAGCAATTCTAATGGGGTTCTTCACATGTTAGAATTAGGGAAGACAAATACATGTTATTCAAGTGTTGAGTTGGCTCTGCATCAACAAAACGGTATCTTGGCTCAATGGGCTGAATCTTCGTTCTCAGTGACATTTACCCCTGAGATGGTCACAGCGGACCTCTTGAGTCGTCGCTCGAGGTAGAGCCCTATTACGACAGCTTCCGTATCACACAGGAAACTGAAAGTATCTGCTAAATGTCGCACTTTCCCCCTGACGAGTCTGGCAAGCTCGAGCAACTAAGATTGAAGACAGGCCGCGAAACATCGCTATTCCTCGTGAGACCAAACTCTGTGCCGTTCCTGACCTGATCAGCATTGGAGTCGATCAGAATGTACCAAAAGACATTCAAGCTCGTTTGAAAGAGGTCGCAGCCGACGCTGGTCCAGTAGAAACGAGCGTTCTCAACTGAGGCGACGGCAGCCCCTTGAGATTCGCCGGCTTGGGGAGGCAGTTAGCGTCCGAGACTATGTAAATCTTGAGATGTGATGCTGAGCGGGAGTCTTACCATGCGGCCATCCAGTTTCGGTGACCCACACCTCCTTGTCCTTCCCACAGACACTTGAACTTTGGGCAGCGATTTGCCTTGTTTGATCAAGAGCAGATATGAATAGGTCAGGGGCGTTTTCAATAGTATTGTTTTTGTCGGACTCCCAGTAGGGAAAGGAGTTGTGGCCGAGCCAGTCGGCGGCTTCCACAACGGCGGCATTTTCGGGTAGAATCCATGCAGTGTATGTGTCGACGTGTCCAATGGGTTTGTTTGCCAGGGGAGGTATGCTTTGCTTGATCAAACTTCGAAGGTCCGCAATGTACCCTACAATCACTTTCGCGTCGGCGCCCACGCCAACATATTTACCGGTCAGGCCGCTCGCATGCCGGTACAAATCTTCTGAGCCGACGGAAATGCCGATGACCAGGTTGGTGAAAGCCTCACCATACTGCATGTATGCGGCCGTAAGAGATCTTAGCTCATTGGTGTACATTTGGCTGCCGGCGCTGGCCCAAAGTCCGACCAGAATGTTGGTGTTGGTATCGATGGCAGCCTTGTAAGCCGAAGTGGGTTCAGCCCATGATGAGGTCGGGTCATATGTATTGTTACACTGGATGGAAGTATATAGACGAGCCGAGGTGAAGTTTTTTCCATCCGCGCCGGCAAGTGTCTTCGCGTTCTGGAAGTAGCGTAAGAAATCATCGTAGCCCCTGCATGACCCATCTTCGTTTGTGGCGCCATAGTTGAATCCCAGGAGGCCCGGCTGGTTTCCTGCCAGGGCGGTAGTGGCCAAGGACACGACAACTGCGGTCATCAGATACATCTTAGATAATCAGTTGGGATGGAGATAGCTGAGGATCATTCGAGAGATGGACGAAATCCGATTCTCTCCTATTCCCCCAGCAAGAGAGCACTAGGCAAGCATCTTAAACATGGTGGCCATCTCGGTTTTCTTTGTTAGCCACGAACAGAGCTGAGTCGAACAGTCTTTTTTGCTTGAAGCCCCACAAACTGCCACACCTTTGAACAGACCCCTTTTCTGTTGTATCTAGGAACACCTTCTTTGCTATCATTCTCTCAGTCTTCCGTGCGACGAAACCGTCAGGGCTAGTGACCCGAGCTACCTAGGAATTCATGCATCGTCCAGATCATTCCCTGAATATCGGCCAAGTTTCCTTGATCATGTCTCGATTGTAACATGGTTTTTATAAGGTAGTCAGCTGCTCAAACTGTGCAGGTGCTTCATCGAACCTTATGAGTGAACAAACCTTCGACACTGTACGGGTAGAGGAGGGAGAGATCGGGCCGGGTGAACATAAGGAAGGATCATCCGACGCGGGGCTAGCTCAGCGCATCTCGGGAATTGGCGACATCACAGGGCTTTGGAAGCAGCTATCGGAACAGCCAATGATGCATTAGCCGCACATATCATGCAAGGACGAGGACCACAGTTAGCGCAGCCCCATACCCGAAGTGAAAAATGTGTGCTCCGAGAGGGTGTGAGAGGGCACATCCAGTCTTTCAGGGGCGCGGCCATCCGAACATACCTGAACTGATACATCTCCACGCCCGCCCCTGATTATACTTCGCGATGGCCTTGGTCCCAGTCGATGCGGACGCGCGGAAACATGGGTATACTTAGTATTACTCCATCATATACCGGGCCCTTGTCGGGAATTCCTGAATTTGAATCGTTTGACATGCCTCGCGGAGTCTAGGGTGAATTGGGAAGGTGAAAAGACATTGAAAGTCTAACGCAAAGAAAATTTCACCTGGATGAAGCATTGAAAGAGAGGCGAGTGGGCAGGAATATGACAACAGAATCGATGTGGGTGGGCTGCGCCGCTGCGGGCGCTCTACGCTGGCTCTGCGGCCATAACGCAAGAGTCGCATATCTTTCTATCTCTGTCGGCACAGAAAGCGGAGGTGGATTCTAGTCGTCTCATCGACTACATTGGAAGTCGGTGAAGAGTGAGAAGAGGCCGCCCTGAAATACTGCCAGCCCAGTGATCACGTAGCGATAGGTAAGTAAGTAATTAATTAGATACTCAACACCATTGCGATGGTTACTACGGAGAAGCCACATAGAAGAAGAGGTGTGTTGGAAAGCAACGTAGTGCAAACGAGTATTTCCACGCCTTGTTATGGTGTTTAATCATGCTACAGGAATATAGAGAGCGAGGGGTGTCAGATTTTAATTTTAGTCTTTCCTCTCCTATTGAATTCGGGACCGTCTTGAACATCCAGTCATTAGAACCAATAGTAAAAAGAGTTCACCCCCCGGTGCTGAACTGGGTGCTACATCTCTTGGTGCTCATGCTAGGAAATTTCTGTTGCTCATTCCGGGATTCGAACTCGGGGTCTCGTATGGGCTTAGATTGTCGTCGAGTAGGCTGGTTGGCGAATTTAATTAATGGCCATGAACTACTTCACCACCCAGCCAGTTTGACCTGATCCGTCGACCTAGACGGGCGCCTGCTGGCTGGTGACGAGAATGGGCTCGAGGGGGGGTATATACCCTTCTGTCCTGGTAAGATGCGGCAAGGAAGCTATACACAAGGTTGTCCTGGCCGTACCTTCCTCTCCAGGTCCTCGACGAGCAAGGTGCCTAGAAGGATCATCACAAGACCGGAAATATCGCCATCAACTTGGATAGAATCGGAAAAGGGAATATAAAGCCAGCCTTGTGTGATACTAGTCCTGGGGAAAACTGCCCATATCTGTCCAAAGGTTTTGGGCAACACCCAGAGTCTCGGACGGAAGAACTTCGACCAAGGCAGCGAGATAAGGCGGTGCCATGGCAGGTTAGTCACTGAAATGTGGGAGCTCTGGGCATGAAATCCCGTTGCCGACCTGAATGACACAAAATACGAAGACGACACAACATCATCCGAATTACTGTGGCAAAGGAAGATGGCAAAGCTTAATATCAATGGCTAAAGAGCACTCACCCGAGATGCGATAGCGAGCCTGTAGAGTATTTCAAGACCTCTAGAATATTTTCACATAGACTGACTCTTCGTTAGCTGGCCGCTCTGACAGCGGCCAAATTTATACGAGGTCAGACGGCGACACTGCAACTTGCCGACTCCCCAAGCGTCAAACTTGGATCAAAGGCGTTAGTGGGTGACACTGCAGCGACTTACTCGATACTGTTCCTACATTGATTAGCCTCCACTGTTGAAGATGGTGCTGCTCCAATGCCGAATCCAGGTACTGCTACGCTGGCAACTGTTCTAACACAGCCTCTTTGTCCCGTCGGCAGCCTGTGCTGCATCACGGCGAGCCAGACCTCTTGGCGGCAACGAGGCCTCAGGTCTCGGTACACATTTTAAAGAAACGTTGGTTTCAGATAAATAAGGTTCGGGTGAAAGGAAAATGGTCACCAGATAATATCGAACTGTGAAGGTTTGTATTGCTGTTTATGAACGATTCGCCGGAGGTCAGCGATTCTTCTCCTCACTCTCTGCTGTCAGTCACCTGTAAAACACTCTAGTCCACAGGGCCTCAGCGCATCACACGAAGACTTGAACTGATTTCGATACGTCTCCCAGTTGATGTTATATGTTACTACCCGTCTTGAGGAAATATTGAGAAGACGCATAATGTATGATGCGAACGCCGAAAGGTGCTACAAGAAGGGCACAAACTCGCGCTCGTTTATGGAGTATATGTAGCATATAAGATACGATGGCAAATGTAGAGAGACACTTCTTTATTCATTAAATAATCATGGGTTTTTCGATTTTAGGAGCCTGATAAAGTAGATGCCAGGCAATTCACCTGGAGCGAACCTATGGATACCGTATTGGACTCCTTACATCGTTCTTCTTTGAGTCCTTACGCCAGTATCTCCATAGGCCTTTTCGCACAAATGACAACACCCCCATAGCCGGCCGATATCTCACATCTGGAAGCGATCGATGGCGAGCGCGAGCTCCTTAGCCTCACGCTTCTCCACGTTCTCCTCGCTGAAAGCAATCCAGCTGTCGACAGCCCGGATCAAGCCAACCATCTTCTTCGTGTATGTGTCCTCAAGGACGCTGAAACCGCTACCAGCGCCGCCGTCATCACCATCAGCACCACCCTCGCCCTCCTTGGCCATCTCTCGCAAGTAAGCCTTCCGAGCTCGGACGAAGGCGCCAAGTATCTCCTGGCAGGTAGTAGTCTTGATGATATCGTCGGCCCAAGTTTCGGCTGGCCTTCCCTTGGCAATGGTCTGCTTGATGGAAACCTCGTGGGCAATGTTCACCCAGAAGCCCTGCGTGAATCCTCTCTGCTTAGGCACCTCCCTGAAGAGGGTCTTGTCGGTGAACTGGTACTTGAATCGCTCGCACTCGTTCAGAATCATGCGCATGAAGTCGGCGATGCGGCCACCTTCACCTTGGAAGTTGGTGAGCTTGCCCTCGAGCTCGAGGTAGCGGCAGACATCGGTGGCGGCCTCCTTGCTCATGAAGTCGAGGGGCGAGAAGGAGAAGCCAGTTTTGAAGACGATGTGAACGATGGTCGGAAGACGGTTGGTCGCGATGAGGAGCTTGTCCCCGGCGGTGAGCATCGAGGATGGGACATCGTACCAGTCCGTTCCGCTGCCCGGTCTCGGGCCAGTACTGGGTCCTGAGACTGTAATGTTCCCAGGGCGGTCAGTCCGATGCCTTTATTTTTTGTTGGCACCGAACAGGGAAGGGGGCTGTTACTTACTTGCATTTCTGCGCAAGTGACGGAAGCTCTCCTTCTTCTCGCGGCGGCTGATGTAGACTGCGTTGTTTGGCTTCGTGGTCTTGCGGTAATATTTGAAGCTGTTGAACTTTGCGAACTGACGATCCATGGCGTGGCCAGTTGGGATGGGAGAGTTTGTCTGGACAGCCGCGTTGGTGGCTTCGATCTTGTCGACTTCCATCTTTCCGGTAGAAGCCATGATGTATTGCGATACCTGCGAGTCTGATGAAGCTGGAAGCAATAGGGTCGAGATCGATGATTGTTCGTTGTGATTGTCTGACTCGGCAGTCTTCGAGTCTTGAGTACCGACTGCTGTGTGGTGTGACGGAAGAAAGGATTTTTTTCAAGAAGGTTCTGCAGGTTATTTCAACAAAGAAGGTGCTCAAAGATCTTAACCCTTCCCGTGGGACTGTTCAAGCACAAAGTCCATCATTCCTCGGGCCGTGGATGAATGGACTGATTGTCGAGGGTCCGGCAAGGCAACATCGAAGTGATTGCTCTGGAGAGGGGTCAGGGTAGGCGTGCTCGCTGCACGGTCCGAGAGTAACATTCGGCAGTAGGTTCAGACGACAGTTATCCATGAAAGGTTGGTGATGATTTGGAAGACTTGCCAAGTGCGATGCTTTACAGTGTTGAGTTTTCACTTTGGCTTGGCGCAATGAAGGACAAAGATAGCTGAAGGTTCTCGAAAGTTGCGCCCACTTTCGGCAGATTATCCCTCAGCGTCGAAGAACCCCTGGGGGAGGAGTCCCAGACTTCAGGGGCTGGGGAAAAACCTTCAAGGAGTTCATCGATCAAGGCTTAGCGTTGTGCGGGCCGCCGCCCTGAAGCTTCGCCATCGATCCCCGAAGCCGCCGGCCTTCACTAAGGCAGTCTGCCGTTCGAGATCAGGCAACATTGAGTTACGCTAGAGTAAGAGAGCCCCATGGTCGGACCAGACGGATGGACAGAGGTGACCCAAGTGGAAGGAGACCTATCCGGGAATGCTTTCGAGTTGTGATGAATGCCGGCCATTCTTGAAGATGAAGACAGATTCAATGAAACCAAGCCAATATGCCTTGCAGAAGTCCTCTTGGCAGTCTCTTTGATTGAAGCTGAAACTCGCGGGCACAGCAGGCCCAGACTAGAGAGCACGGTGCCGTTGTGCTAGCACTTTTAGGGCATACAAATCGTACCCAGAAAACGTTTTCATCCGCGAGACTTACAAAGGGGGCTTTTTATGGTAAAGGTTCAGCTACGATTGCAATCCAGAGCAGAAAATTTTGATGGCGAGGGAGAGTAAACAAACAGAAACATGAGATCCATCTTTCTTCGCCGATTTCAAGTCCCTTTAAAAGCGTTTTACTACAATTCATGGTTCATTGCCGAGATAAGTGACATCCTTTACTGCGTCTAGGGCGCTAGATGTAGAGACTCGGCTCACGTGGGAGGTAAGTGAACCACCTAACCGGCCTATGAGGCTTCGGTTTCGAGTATCTTGATTCCGATATAGGCTGCATTACATATTTACGAGTCCCTGACTTGTTGCTCAAGGTAGCGGCACTTGGGTTCCATAGGCATTGTTCGTGTTTTGCTAGAAGATAGGTAGACAGAGGTCTGTCAGACTATCAGGACCGTCAAATACCAGTCTTGGACGGCGTTTAGTGACTGTGGTGCTTACCTATCCTAGGTACTCCTTGCCACCAAAGTCAAGGGACTGGCCTAAGTATGTGGGCAACACTGATCCATGGCGCAGCCCTCGGACTGCCAGGCTGTCCAAATAAAGGTAAATTTACCGACGTACAGACTTGAAGCTTTATTGTACCTAGGTAACTAGTATTGACTCGGAAAGTGGGAAAGCGACCCGTAACAGTCTTGCCGATTCACGAGAATTACCTCGGGCATCATCTCAATTTCCCCTCCTCTGGCAATACAGATATTCGGTTTACCTTTTTTTGTCATCGGAGGATTTATTGTCTGATGACTTTCGAGCTGTTTTCCGGTCATTGAAAATAACTTTTGCTTCTTCATTTCGCCCCGCGTTGTTTGCTGACTGAGGTGCTACAAGCACGTTCACGGAGTACATCAAATTCGACCTGGGCACAGATCTTCCGCAACGCCTAAGGGGGATCGCTAGTTCAACTGTCTCTGTTTGTCTACCCATGGAATAAGAGTAAGTTTCTGTATACATCAAGATTTTCGGAACGCAACCCAAGCAAAACTACCCGGTCTCCGACGAGGAGCAAGAAATAGAATGAGACCGAATAGTGAGGAGCAAAAGCAAGGTCAGCAAGCACCAGTGCGAGCCGTGCCGTAGTTTAGCAACAGTCCAGGATTCAAGACTTGGCCGCATCCGGTTCGTGCGGTTTGCCTAGTAGAATGAACCGTGGTCATCTGCCACTCCTCGCAGCGATAAGAGCGCCTGTTTGTCATATATCAGATTTCGTACACGAAACATCCTAGGATTGGAGTCGAAACTCTCGCCATTTCCTTCCTAGTTGTGCCATTTCTATCCGTAGACTCTAATGAACACGAAGGCGCCAGCGGTGTGGCTGGTTCTGCGCCCGTGAGAAACCTCAATTGGCATTTTCAAATCCCGATGCCCGTCTCTCAGCCTACGCCATACCTTTGGGGAAGATAATTAATTCACAAGAGTCAATGCCGTCAGGTCGGCCATTCGAGTGGTGGCACGACCCGTCGAGTGCGCACTGATGATGGCATTTGCTTCTCCGACGGCAACTGAATTTCTTTTAGGCCCGGACTTGATGGAATTAGGGTGGGGCAATAACTCCGGGTAGGGCAGTCAAACGGATGTTAACAGCATTTCCCCTGCCGTCTGGGAGCGTGGATGGCGCGAGAAGAGTTTGAACAGCTTCGGCAAAACGGGCACGGCTCGAATTCGGGCTGGTATTTGTCTGCGGGCGACCGACACGCGTCAGCAGGTTAGCCTAGGTGTATCTACCTCGACTGGAATGCCCAGGTAATTCGTTCGTGGCTTTTGAAGAAAAACTACATCATAACAAGCCTCAAGTTGGACGGAGGTAGGCATACAGCGAGCGAACTTTAGAGCGAAGCCCTTATGCCAGTAGAGACACTTGCCCGTGGCAGTCTGAAAAACGTTGAGTGACTTACCGTCGACGACATTACGTTCACTCATGATAAATTGGGGCAATGTCTGATCAACAAAGAAATAACCTCGGATCGTAGCGCGTGTGATAGGTTGCGTAGCGTGTGACGGGACGTCGTTGGGGCGTCCAAGTATCGGCCCGCGGCGGCCCGCACTGTCAAGCACCGACGGCGTCTTCACCTCACCTCGGTGAGTCCGGCACACCGAAGCATGGACACCTCACCCATCAGCCCCACCGAGAGCTCTTTTCGAGCGTCATCTCCCATCGATGAACTCGGCCAAAGCTCGTCGCGTCAGTAAGCAATACTCTTTCTGCTCTTGGCCACGCGAAGTTTGCAATTGCTCCGACAATATTTACCCAAGACTTTTTCTATCCAACGGACTTGAGCCTGCAAAGGTTACCGCCCGTCTCAACAACACAATGTTTGCAAGCCGCGCCACCACGAGGTCGCGGCTAGCTCTCCGCACAACTCGCCCACCAACAACGAAACCATCCTTGCGTCATACCTCGACGAACTCTTCCTCTTCTTCCTCTCGAGCGGCAGACCGCATCCTCGATCGCGTCCCCCTCCGCTTCCAGAAATACACCACCGGCCTCCGCAAAGCGCCCGTCTCGCACGTAGTCGCCTTCCTGATCCTCCACGAAATCACCGCCGTCGTGCCCCTCCTCGGCCTCTTCGGCTTCTTCCACTACACAAACTTTTTACCGCTCGAGTACGTAACGGGCCACTGGGCGGGATACGTCAGGGATGGTGTGGGTATGGCGGAGAGGTATTTTAGTAGGAAGGGGTGGTTTGGGTTCGAGGCCCAGGACCGCGGAACGATGACGGGGCAGTTGGAGGGGGACGGTGAGGTTGAGAGCACGCAGGATGTGCTGGAGAAGTGGCAGAGGGATGGCAAGTACAAGGTTGTGGTGGAGGTTGCTATGGCTTGGGCTATTACGAAGGCGCTGCTGCCAGCGAGGATCCTCGTCAGCGTGTGGGGGACGCCGTGGTTTGCGGGTGTCATGGGCAGGGCACGTGGATTGTTCAGATCCAGTCGGTAGTCACGGTTGAAGGTCTCAAAAATCACATTACACTCCTGGTAGCATATGGGCTCTTTGTTTGTGCTTTTTGATTGACCTATAACTTTTCTTTATCAACCTAACATGGCGACATGCATCCCACCCGTGCGGCAAGCGTACGGTGGACGTCTACGGCTCGTGTATAGTGGCGGAGTAGAGAAAAAGCATTTAAGGCTTCTCGTAGATCCAGTCGAACTGGGAAGCCTTGTAGGAGACGACATCGCCATCCTTGAACCAGAGGGCAATCTCCTTCTTGGCGTTCTCGACGGAGTCGGAGCCGTGGCAGACGTTGCGGCCGACGTCGATGGCGTAGTCGCCACGGATGGTGCCGGGGGCGGAGGCAAGGGGGTTGGTGGCACCGAGAAGGACTGTGAGGTGTGTATTAGCATGAGGTTATTCGACTGAAGGGGTGTGTGTAGAGGATTGGTGAGGGACTTACCACGACCGGTCTTGACGGCGTCACGGCCCTCCCAGACCATGGCACAGATGGGGCCAGAGTTCATGTCTGCGAGGATGTCAGCTTGGAATCACGGTGGGCGAGGCATTGGGGATGGAACATACACTCAATGAGACCAGCGAAGAAGGGCTTGTCCTTGAGGTCGGCGTCTATTTGGAAGAGTTAGTTCTGCTTTGCGAGGGATGCGAGAGGAAGTAACGAACAGTGGGCCTGGAGGTGCTCCTTGCCGGGGGTCATGAGCTTGATGGCGACGAGCTTGAAGCTGAAGGAGACATGTTAGAGATGACAAACTTGCCCAGAGTAGGTAGGGCATCATCTGGAATAAAACTTACCCACGGGTCTCGAAGCGAGAGACGATGGGGCCGATCAGGCCGCGCTGTGGGAGAGTCAGCTTGCTGTGCCTGGCAATTGGCAAGTACCAGATGAGATGGAGCGTACCTGAACGCCGTCAGGCTTGATGGCAATGAAGCTATTTCAGGGTCAGCTTTTTTTGTTCTGTTTCGTGGTGGTGATGTGTGCCCCTCTTCTGCCCGAAACCTCCCACGATGGCGGGGTAATTTCAGGGTAGTGACAGGAGCTCAAAGAAAAGCAAGTAGCATTGGAGTGCATTGCTAGCTTTATGGGCAGGAAGTTAGAAAGGGATTGAGGTGTGTACTCACGTCTGCTCGGTAGACATTTTGGGAGAGGTATCAACGACGACTTTGGGAGTTGAAGATGGTTGATGTTCTTGGTAGATTGTGGTGGTGACAACGGAAGGGGCGACGGGAGGAGAAGAAAGGTCTGCTGCTGACCGCTGGTTTTGTTGGCTCGAGGAAAAAATTATGTACAAACCGAAGAGGAGAGCGAGAATTATGAAAGTTGGTGGGGGCAGCTTCTCTGCTGTCCTGCGGGCGTACTCGGGGAAGCTTGCATTTGCATTATTCTGCTGCGGCTTCTTGTGCTTCGAGGCGGGGTCGTTGTCCTGCTCGCCGCCGCCGTGGTGGTGGGGTCCCGAGTCTGCCATTGGATGAAAGCAAGTACTATGTACCTAAGGTGCTTAGGTAGAAACGTGGTGAAAAGGTGTGGAGATTGCTGTACCGAGCTTCTGATACGGCAGTTTTGGAACTGTGAAGCCAGACCGCCTAGTTTTTATTTTGACAGCTCAGCACTCATGGCAACCAAAAGGTGGAGGTTCACCGTGATTCTAAAGAGAGGGTGAGGTGGGTGAAGTGTGAAACGGCATTGAACCAAGGGGAAGGTTCCTTACCTATAGCACTTGAAATACAAAACGCCAAGCTCAAGTTTCTTTTCTTTGGATCGTCACATGCAATTGACCTTGCATTTCGCTCAAGAGAAGCTCAAAAGTCGTGCAGTTTTGGGTTGATACATAAGTAAATAATCATGGTGCGGGTTGATTGAGATCCTGATTGTCAGGTACGAATCAGGTACCTATCTTCCGGCTTACCGCATCTCGGATAATCTCTTAAGTATCACAGCGGGACCCATGTGATTTAATCGGTTATCCAGGATAAGGCACCTCTATGTCTTTTGTGGGCCCTGCTCATCCTTCCCAGTCCCACCATTTCAATCTGTCACTGCCACTTCACTTGACATCAAAAGAGACTTGACAGAAAGCTGATTTCCTGCTCACGCGTATCGTCGTTCTCAACGTGACTAGTGACGTTACCAGTGAAGACAAAGTTCTCCTTGAACTCATTATACAAAGGCCAGTTTGTACCGTTGACTTTGAAGTTCAGCGTCAGCAGCCATGCTATCGAGGCCTGCGGTAGACCACACTTACCTGATCCATTGCTATTCGGGTCACCAGTTGCCACAAAACTAGCCCACGCCGTTGCCATTATGGAAGCTAGTTCGGAGAAAGACTGAGGCTTGTCTTGCAGAGGCCACACGTCGTAGTCGTCTCTGCTTTGGTCGTCGAAGACGAAGAATATCTCTTTCGCATGCGTTGCGCCAATGTAGCGAGGCAATCCGCTGACGATGACATCCCATCGATATTTGTAAAGACTGAATGCCAATTGGTTGATAAGCCAGCAAATTTTATAACATCAGTGCGGGTATACTTACGGCACGTTATACGCCGCCCACATCTGAGCCGTATAATGAGTGGGCGCGATGATGTTAGAGTCACCAGCGAGCGTAACAGCTCTCTTGTATTGGTAACCGAGGTCAGCACCAAGATCGTCCGGGTATGTGGCTAGAGCCTGGTCCGTTGCGTTTTGGCGGTATAAGTCAAACACTCTACTTGCAACCGTCTCGTTGGCCTTGAGCGAAGCAATGTAGGCCCTAAATTGCTCATCCGTGTCGATCTTGGACGTTGGATAGAACGTGGCATTGTCAAAGTTGTTCCCTGGGATAAAGGCAGATCCTTCGTCTGTGTTGTGGCCGATTATGTATGGAACCTTGACGAAGTTGCCCTTGGCCAGCTGCGCTCCTGGGGCATCGGCAACAAAGTCGCCATCAAAGACTTGGACTTCTTAACCCAAACTCGATAACAATCAAACATGTGACTACTCACCTAGTCCATAGGAAGCCCCTGAAGTGGCTGTAGAATTGACCACGGCATTCAAAACCTCGATTGGGACGTTCCGCAGACAATTGAGTGCATCTGTCGTGCTGCAGCCTGTGCCGACTGTGATGTTCTCATAGACTTCGTCCCACTTTGCGACGTCGAGAACTGTAGCGGATCACTTCATCAGTCATAGAGTCGTAGCCTGGCAGATTGCGACTTACATGGGGAGAATGGCGAGAAACCAGCAGGGGCTCCCGACTGAGAAATGGCACCTCTGAACAGTCCGTCATCGCGCCCATTGTACGCCAGAAGTTGGGCACCGACAGAACCCGCACCCCTAGAGACAAAAGTTCATGAACTCAGTTTCCATGGTTTCATTGAGGGCTCTCGGAAAGTCCATAGAACATACGCGCTGTTACCGAATATGGTTACTTTGGTAGGATCTCCTCCAAAGGCGGCGATATTTTCTACGGACGAGTTAGCTGAAAACGTCCCATCAACCACTTCAACAGCTACGACTTCCCTTGTACCCAGTTTAGTGCCAATCTTTGATCCCTAAAGCCAAGGTTCGCAGCTCCAGCAGCCACGATATCAGAACCTCCTAGAAAGCCGAAGGCGGAAAGGCGATAGTTGAAACTAACGCCAATGATGGGCTTCCCAGCTGCAACAGAGTCCCGAATGATGGACGAGAAGTTCAACCGGGGATCGGCGCTGCCACCTTGGAAGTAGCCTCCACCGTAGATGTACACGGCAACTGGCAGCGACTGGTCTGTATAGTTGGAAGGACGAACGACGTTGATGCTCAGACAGTCCTCAGAGATCTTGAAGCCAAGTGCCGCGAGCCTGTTGTTGTCATTCTATGGCAAGGTTAGCAAGCCCATCCTGTACATGTGGTTGTTTCAGCGATGAGTATGGTGATGCGGCCGCGTAAACGTACACCATAGCCATAGCAAATGTTGCCGAATTGAGTAGCGTCTCTCGATCCAGTCCAGGAGGTGTTCAGTGAAGCTGGTGGTGAGAATCGAAGGGGACCTTGAACAGGCGGCTGGGCGAACGGCATGCCTAGGAAGTAGTCTTGGTTGAGTAAAGGCAGATGGACGCCTGTATAAGAGCCATTTCTAGTTTGGACTTGTGGTGCCTTTTGACAGAGGCCACCAGACAGCCCGGCGAGTAACAGAAGCAGTACGCGCGCCATGTTCACGTCCGGATGAATGATTCTAACTATAATCAAGTACGATTTCCACGGAGTTTTGCGTCTATTATATTGCTGTCATTCGTGCATCGTGGGCAGACGATCACATTTCATCGTAATCGCTGTCCTGAAAATCGTCACAGTTCTTGACTCGCAACCCTGTCTTGATGACTGTTTCTTGGTCATTTCCGTATCGCTTAGAGCAAGAACTACTGGATCTCCTTCTCAATCGAGCAACTTGCAGGCTACTTTGATGCTTTCAAATGATAGCTCATCAAATTGATCAACCAAGCCTTTCCGAGACGTCCGCTTTGTGCCGCCATATCCGACAATTATGTCCGGCAATTGTTCGTGGAATCGCATCAGACGTTCTTGCGATGGTGATGCGGATCATGAGATGGTGATCAACCGAGCCAACCCGGCTCTGCTGGATCCACCCATTCCACAATCACCCCGTGGGCCAGCATGAACCAGATCTCGAAGAACGAGCATGTGTAGTAGTGAGGACATAACATGATATCATCCCTAAAGAAGCTCACGATCTCAGACAAAATCAGGAAGGCGCTCATAGACGTTTCGCCCTCAAGCGTGCCTGACCATATCATCCATCGCAGGGGTATGACATTGCCCAAAAGCATCGTGTAGGCGCATATCTCGCAGGTTTATAGATAGAAGGCACCATCAGCCTTTCCTCATAGAAAGTGGCCGGGACCCTACGAACATTGCCATCCGTATGTGGTCTGGAAGTTGTCTACTCCAATGGCGGGGTAAATATTCGGTCAGTAAGGTCTATGCACCTATCCGTTTTCCAATATCCGATTAAACATGTCTTCTTCGATAGGCCCCTGTCTCCCGCAGCAAGCGACTCGAGCTAAGCCCAAAGTGGAGCTAGTCAAGGGGACAGCTGTTGAACTCAAGCGGCGTCTCACCTTCACAAGTACCTTCCACCCAAACGTCACCAATTCCTCCCACCCAACCCGATTCAAAGTGTACCAAAAACCAACCACAAACGCGCGACGCGAGAGCACTACAAAGAAGAACCGCCTTCTTTTTGCTCTCATCCCCATGTTCGCTTCTTGATTCCAGAGTTTCTTGCAGCAGTTCGTTCAATCCTTTCGGACAAACACACAATCACCACACCCCTCCGCCATGGGGACCATCGGCAAGTCGTCCTACAAATGGACGACCTTCTTTGGTCTACTGGCGGCACTTAGCTGCATGATCCAGCCCGCAGGTAAGGACTCCCGCGACGCAATGACCTTTCTTTTACCTTACTTGTGTTGAATTCACGCTGCTTGGTTCCCCCAACTGCTTGACTTAGTGATACTGACAAGATAATCGCAGTCATGGTTAAGGAAAATGACTTCAAGAAGTGCCACCAATCTGGCTTCTGCAAGCGCAATCGCGAGTATGCCGATAACGCCGTCTCCCAGTCCTCGACCTGGGCCGCTCCCTACAATATCCTCCCCGACTCTGCCTCACTCAAAGACGGTCAACTCCAGGCTGTAATCCTCAAGACCATCAACGATGCCCAGGAAACCGTCCGCCTCCCCATCACCGTTTCCTTCCTCGAATCCGGCACCGCTCGTGTGACCGTTGACGAAGAGAAGCGCCAAAAGGGAGAAATCGAGCTGCGAAACAACAGCCCTGCCCGCAAGGAGCGCTACAATGAAGCCGAAAAGCACGTCATTGTTGGTGGCTTGAACCTCGACAAGGAGGCCAAGGTCGCCTACCAGGATAAGGACCAGATCACCATTCAGTACGGCCCCTCCTCCAAGTTCGAGGCTGTCATCAAGTTCTCGCCCTTCAGTGTCGACTTCAAGCGTGATGGATCTTCCCACATCAAGCTCAACGATCGCGGTCTGCTCAATATGGAGCACTGGCGCCCCAAGGTCGACAAGCCCGCCGAGGAAAAGAAAGAGGGCGAAGAGAACGCTGAGAAGGCCGAAACCACCGAAGTCAAGCAGGAGGACGAGAGCACCTGGTGGGACGAGACGTTTGGCGGCAACACCGACTCCAAGCCCCGTGGTCCCGAGAGTGTCGCCCTCGACATCTCATTCGTCGGATACGAGCACGTTTTCGGTATCCCTGAGCACGCTGGTCCTCTGTCTCTGAAGGAGACCCGTGGCGGCGATGGCAAGTACTCCGAGCCCTACAGACTTTACAACTCCGACGTCTTCGAGTACGTCCTCGACAGCCCCATGACTCTCTACGGAGCGATTCCTCTCATGCAGGCGCACCGCAAGGACTCCACTGTCGGTGTCTTCTGGCTCAACGGCGCTGAGACCTGGATTGACATCACCAAGGAGAAGGGCTCATCCAACCCCTTAGCTCTTGGCGTTGGCTCCAAGACCAACACGAAGACCCACTGGATCTCAGAGGCCGGTATTCTCGACGTCTTCATCTTCCTGGGCCCGACCCCTAAGGATATCTCCAAGACTTACGGCGAGCTCACCGGTACCACCGCCATGCCCCAGGAGTTTTCTCTCGGCTACCACCAGTGCCGTTGGAACTACATCTCCGATGATGATGTCAAGGACGTTGACCGCAAGTTTGATAAGTTCAAAATCCCCTACGACGTCATTTGGCTCGATATTGAGTACACCGATGGCAAGAAGTACTTCACCTGGGACGCCGACATGTTCAAGGACCCTATCGGCATGGGCAAGGCTCTTGATGAGCACGGCAGAAACCTTGTGGTTATCATCGATCCCCATATTAAGAACGAGGGGAAGTACGATATCACCGAGCAAATGAACTCCAAGGGCCTAGCCGTCTTGAACAAGGAGGGCAAGCCTTTCGAGGGTTGGTGCTGGCCTGGTTCTTCGCACTGGGTCGATTGCTTCAACCCCAAGGCCGTCGAGTGGTGGGCTGGCCTCTTCGACTACGCCGCTTTCAAGGGCACCATGGAGAACACATTCATCTGGAACGACATGAACGAGCCCTCTGTGTTTAATGGACCTGAGGTTACCATGCCCAAGGACAACATTCACCACGGAAACTGGGAGCACCGTGATGTGCACAACATCAACGGCATGACCTTCCACAACGCTACCTTTGAGGCTCTCCTCACTCGCAAGAAGGGCGAGCTCCGCAGACCTTTCGTCCTTACCCGCTCCTTCTACGCTGGCTCTCAGCGTCTTGGTGCCATGTGGACAGGAGACAACCAGGCATCGTGGGAGCACCTGGGCGCTGCCGTTCCCATGATTCTGAACCAGGGCATTTCCGGATTTCCCTTTGCTGGCGCCGATGTTGGAGGCTTTTTCGGTAACCCCGAGCCTGAGCTGATGGCACGCTGGTACCAGGGCGGAGCTTTCTACCCCTTCTTCCGTGGCCACGCTCACATTGATGCTCGTCGCCGCGAGCCTTACATGCTTGCGGAGCCGTTCAGAGGCATCCTCACTGCCGCCATCCGCCTTCGCTACAGCTTGATGCCTTCGTGGTACACTGCCTTCTTCCACGCCCATCGCAACGGCAGCCCGATTGTTCGTCCCATGTTCTGGACCAACCCCACGGAGGAGTCTGGCTTCGCCATTGACGATCAGCTGTTCGTCGGATCGACTGGTCTTCTCCACAAGCCCGTTGTTGAGAAGGACAGGGAGTCTGTCGACATCTATATTCCTGATGACGAAGTGTACTACGACTACTTTACCTACGAAAAGCTCGCCACCAAGAAGGGCCAGTATCTCACCAGGGACGTCGCCCTCGACCAGATCGCGCTTCTCATGCGTGGTGGCCACATCTTCCCTCGCCGTGATCGCCCCCGCCGTTCGGCTAAGCTCATGCGCTTCGACGACTACACCCTCGTCATCAGCGTTGGCAAAGATGGCCAGGCCGAGGGGGAGCTGTATGTCGATGACGGAGACTCTTTCGACTTCGAGAAGGGCCAGTACATCTACCGCAAGTTCAAGCTTGACGGCAAGACCATTGCATCCTCTGATGCCGAGGGCCGTGACTCCAAGTCTACCAAGGAGGGTTCCTGGCTCAAGGCCATGAAGGAGGTTTACGTCGACAAGATCATTGTTGTTGGTGCTACCAACCAGCTCAACAAGAAGGAGGTTACTGTCACGTCAGAGGGCAAGAGCTGGACTGTCCCTGTTCAGTACCACGCTGCCGAGAAGGGCCGCGCCGCCTACGCAGTTGTAGGCAGAGTTGCTGCCCGTGTTGGAGAGGACTTCAGCATCGCGTTGGCTTGAGACCGTACAAGGATACGAGTCCACCGTCCGAGGATGAGGAGACATACTTAAGCTGGCGCAACACCTCTGACGTGCTTCATCGTTGGATCTTCGCCTGGGATGTCCTGAACGGCAGAACTCGACGATCAGGAGACGGGAAAACGACGAAGACGCCTGAGCGGTGAAGCACACTAAGAATAGACACAGTGAGCTCCACTGATCGCCACAAGGGCTGATGATCGAGAGACTTCACAAGTCATTAGAGCGCTCTATTAGAGAGAGAATTGACGAACACGTTCATAAAGATTGCTTAACTTGAGCATAAACTCCTTGCCCCTTCGTGACTCCATGCGATCTCGGTTAGTTAATCTAGAACTGGGTCGGTGGCTTGTGGGTGGAACGGTGCAACATCGGTCGGGGCTCCTCCGCTGCAGTGGATAGACTTCGTGGAGCCTCATTCCCAAGATTTTCCGCTCCCCTCCGCCCCCGGCTTCCTCCTGGAAACAATCCACGATGGCGTGAGTTCTGGCTCTGGAACTCCACATGTCCGGGGGGGCCTGTTAAGCTTCAACTGAGAACACAGCCTCGCTCGCTTGCGATGGGCTTGATTTCCCTGGTGGACCTCTGCATGACGAGATGCTTAGGGGTAGCGGCTACAGCCTACAAACATCTTGTCCTGGATGACGACTTGGTTTCTGCGATGGGAAGGGCTCGCTCAATGCGCTAAATGTTGAGGCCAACCTTCTAGAGGGAGAGCGAGTTGCTCGCCTAGTTCGTAAACATTGGAGAATCACCTGTAAGATGCTTAGAATTGCGATTCCTACTCCA